AAGCAATCGTTTTTTTCTGAGGAAAACTGATAAATATATAAATATGGAGTGGAGAGAAAGCGTCAAAAATGAAAAACTCGAAAATATGTGGGTAAAAATGTAAATTTTCCAATTAAAGTAATATAGGAACGAGACATTTGAGGACGTTGATACTATACGAACTCTACGAGAACGTATGAGATGATATCATTGCAAACGTGATGTGATGTAATTGCGAATTGATTAATTAAAATTAATGGCTATGTCATGGAATAATTTATTGCACACCAAACAAGACATTTAATAAATATGCAATGAGTTCTTAGGAGCGACTTCTTAGGATTGTTATTAGGAGGAAAATTTTAGTCGTTGGCAATAGCAACGTGATAATTTGTCACAAACATTGACGTTGGAACAAAACAAAAAGTGACGAGTTGTCGCGTCATAGCTAAAAACATGTCTGGAGCCGTTTTCTCTGTTTCTTGGCTTGTTAGCAAATTGCTTTTAGACTGTTCCAATTTGCTGACAACGCATTTGAGTGAGTCAAATGTAATGATAAAAAACACTCATCTTTAATCTATCATTTTCGCTGCCAAAACATTCATTGACATTATTGGAAAGTTATTTACATAAATACTTAAATTTTACTATCTTGAAATATTCATACGCGATTAACAGTGAGAGCCAAGTGCTCGTGAAAAGCAAATCGGATTTGTGCGGACAAAAAATAGCTATCGCAGACCTTCCAATCGAACCCTAACAACCAGAACTAATGGATTATTCTAGTCTAATTGAATTTTTTGTTCAATTGTTACCAGTCATTCGAACACCAAATGCCATAGTGCATCTATTTCACGTGTCTATTGAATAAAATTTGATATTCTGGAGGATAATAAGAATTAACTGATTAGAAAGATTTTGTGCGTATGCGTATACGTTTGTGTTTTATTGATATGTCTGTCGCATTCACACAAATAAAAATTGTCGGAATTCACTTCTTTCAATGAAATGACCGTAAAGAATGTGTAAAGAAATTTCAAGGTGCGCCTATACTCTACCATCAACGATCTCGGTGTAGCAATCTTGATAGTAAAATTAAACTCTTCCCTATCATTCCCGCTGATTGATCAAAATAACTCGTTTGGAGCTAATTTTGGAACAGTACGAAACTGCATAATTAAATGAAGAAAACTTGTCGGTTCTACTTTAATATAGACAGAATGAATGAGTGGGTGCTGAAGAAATAAGACTGCGACTGAATGGAATTGACATAATCACTGAGTTGATCATAAAGAGCATCTAATTATTGTTATTAATATCATGCACTAATCAACATAACCACTTAGTAAACTACCATTCGCTATATTACCACATTACTATATTTAGTAAGTGCAGTTACTGCATTACTGCATTAATTTCTTTTTAGCAGTGATGAAATCATGAAATGATTTACCATGCAAATGGAGGCGTTCCACCGCATCGAATGCACGGTACTCGAACTGGAGATGATGCCATTGCAAGTGTTACAACTGCCGAATATGGTAGAGACGAGCTCAGATAGCAGAACGGTGAATGAATTAGCTGAGGGACACTGTTTGGGGCACTTTGGGAAGTGTCGGAGACTTCTCGTGGATGATTCGGAGGTGCCTCGATGGGTTTCGATGACTCAAGCGCAAGTTGCGCAGCTTGAGCTTGAGTTTCGAGTTGTGAAAACGAGTATTTATTGGCAGAAGGCAGTTTGGCTAAGGTGTGGGGCTGTTTGAGAGAAACAGCAACAAAAAACAAAACACGATTCTGAGGAATTGGTGAAGTAAGATGGAAAGATGTATGACAGCTGAAGCGGTACTAGTTTATGAATTCAGTACCGTTTGA